GCGGATGGACGCTTGCAGGGGTGCCATGTTTTTCGCTCTGAGCTCCCGCCCCGCGACGACTTCGTCTTTCGAAAGAGGATACGGCGGTGTCTTTCCGATCACAGTGGCGAGCTGTGAATCAAAAGGAGGTCGCGGGAGCTGGTTTTTGGTTGATTGTGTCATTGTGAAGAAGATCTTATCAGTCGATATCCGACGACTGGGAGGGATAATACAGATCGCCAAGAAATTTGTTGGTCTACAATGTGATGATGACTGCGGTTCTCGGCGAGTTTTGATGTTGACAACTCGATGTCTTGATCCTCAACAATAGATGGCCACGATATCCTTTGCTGACAAAATACCAGCCCTGGACCTGATTGCTTACCGTTTGGCGCCTTCGCTTCGAATCCTTTGTCTTACGATTTGTTGCTAGCATCCTCGGCTTTCCTCTAGCCGGACGCTATCTCCGCCTGTGTTCGCGCTAATTATGCCTTTATCCCCGCGAACCAAGTTTCTTGGTCCATGACCGCTCATACATTTGGGAGACAGAAGGGTGAACCGGATCTATCTCCGTTGGCTCGACTAATTCCTCTCATCGCGTCTTACTTCTCGAGTCCGTACACCCCGCAAAGCATTGACGCTCTTGCAAACCATTACAAACCTGCCTCTGTCGAATAGTGCCTTCAATGGACTATCTAACTTGGGGTACTCCTGTGCGCTCTGGATGACTATTGTACTGCGTATGTGGGAAGTAAAGCTTCGGAGGGTGAGCAAGAAGTCATGGTGGAGAGCAATGATCATAACGCAAACAATGCATTATTTTGGAGCTGTCAATGCAAGTCGCGATTTGGTCCAGTAGCTTAAAATAACCCGCGGTCAGATTATGACAACCAATGATTGACTCTCCTCAGGACGTTTGCTTACAGTCGTGATAAGACCGACCGGTGCAACAACGACTAGGTGAACAAGGCGTACAACTATCATCACATTGCTTGAAATCATTCAAAAACGGGCTATGTTTTCTAAATTTGATGTTTTGTCTGGTCATGAGGTAGGTGTTCATCATTCAGCAGCATGCAGGTCTCGGCAACCGCGTTTGTTGACCGTCTGTGTATGCAACCCGCGTCTAAGCCACAGCGAATCATGTCGCCAAAAGCCTTCGGACTTCCCAATCCTTCGGACAAAACAGTGGCGCATTATTATTGCACAACAATGCAAACATGTAAGCCTTTTGGTTCAAAGCTGAAGAAGTGGGAGGAAATAGCATCTCCGAGGCTTATTTCCCGCAGTCGTCCACGAAAACATGGCACGCGTGCACGTTGCTAAAAGGGTAATGGCGCATGTTGGAAAATGACTAACAATACACAATGCAGCCACCGCAGGTCTCTCATTTTGGCCTGCTTCGATTACCAAGGCCTTGGTATGGGCGTAATAAGTCTCATGAGCCACTGAGAACTCCAAGCTCACAGCGGAAATGCTTTACCACTTGCTATTTGGTCCCTTGCGCGCGGATGGGAGATGACGTGCGGTGACGTACTTGAGGTCACTAGACCTGCCTTCGCACTCATATTTAATTATGCGTTGCATCTAGAGTCCAGACAGTGCCATTGAGGCCTTGTTCCAAAAGCATTATCATGAACGTCCAGTCCGCGGCTTCCGTACTAGTCTCATTGACATCACTTACGGGGTCAGTCCGTGAGTCGCGCAGCAAGTATTTTGCTAAATCATCGCCTCCGTATCCTTTCGGCCGACACGAACGCCTATAATGTTCATAGGCTAGGATAGTCTCGCACACCGAGAGTCCGAAGGTATCGCGTTCTGGCATTTGAAAAGAGCACAAACCGAACGGGAAATTTCAGCGAAAGTTGGGCTGCCGGCCCGAGAAAACCGCTGCTTTGGGCCTTGACCGTTCTTTTGGGATCAGGGGGCAAAGGACTTGAGCACAACGGCGGCTCATATGGTTCGTTCTGTGAGGTTGACATGAGGTAAGATTTCCCAAATGTCTGTGGGCGGTTTTGAGGCGATGGCCCGAGACTCAACTCGAAAGCCAACAATTTTCTTGTGTGGAAAAACTCAAAAGGATTTTGACTTTGCTGTCAACACCGCATTGCCTCGGTTCCGAGCGCAGAAGGTCCAATAGGCCGAGTCCGTCAAGCCAAGAAAGATCTTTGAGACGGACCTCAACAGCCCGCGACTCAGCCTTAGTAATTACTGAACGAACCATGATTGCGTGACGGCAGTTGCGATGAAACAAGGCAAACTTCAGTGGTAGACAGGCCTGTTTCTTGTCCAATGGGGAAAGCTGGGTTATCTAGGCCTCGGTAGATCAACTTGGGAATTCGCCGTTTGAAGTTCCGAGACTTTCTGTCACCGACGATGTTTAAACCTGCAAAGGAAAAGAAAACCGAATAACTAGGTGTAGAGAATGGGCACGTCCATAGAACAACACCGAAAGCCAGCGTGGCAATCTGTCGTCAGTGCAACTGCCACGCAGTGTGCCAACGTCCGCCACCCGAGACCGTGCTTCTTGTCAAGATTAGACTTCGATCACCAAAAGGCAAAGAATGGCGGCCTTTCGGGCTTTCGATGCCTATCCTGCAGCATCGAGAGACGGTCTTCACTTTCCTTTAGCAACATCTCTGAACATGGGTAGACAGGCGAGTGCGAATGAGAAAGGTTGCAGTGGCTCTAGACAGCGAGCAAAACTTGGCTTCACTAGAACACATGAAAGCAGGTTTATTCGGTACCATTTGGGAAGCTGAAGCGGGCCAGACCGAAGGTATGATAAAGAAACGATGTGACCTCAGTTGCAATCTACCAATCGGCCCAAGTTTTGCACGCATAAGCTGTAGCCTTATCAGTTCAGGTGGAGTGCTAGCACCAACCTGTGCCGGAGCTAGAACCATTTGGTAAAATAAGATCGCCGTTGTGATGCATACCGATGGCGCAAATTTGCCATCGATAGGTTCCGATCGCATATCAGTGCGCCGAAAGCATGGCCGTTGGAGGCGAGATGCCTTCCTTCTGCAGTGCAACCATTCACTGCCCTACTGGCCATCCTGTCAGCATTGCCTTCCCCCGGCGGAAGGTCTTTTGGGAGCGGAGGCTGGATTCTAATGCCCGGTCAGCACAACCCATCTTTTCGGGGCTTTCTGGTTTGTGGAGGAGCATAGAAGAGCCCTCGCGGGCAAAGTGCCCATACCTTGCCCTCTGAATTTGGGCCTCATCAAGCTTAAATGGCAGCCGTCAGCACTAGAGAGGCAATCCAACACAAAAATAGTATCCCGATTAAGGAAGGCCGCAAGCATATGCTGTGCTCATTCTAGAAAAAGATGCGGGACGTTGTAGATTAAACGATGTGGCCAATGGGAGATATCCCGCGTGCTTTTTGTCCCGAGTTGCTACCCTCCACTACCCATTTGAGCCTCTTCTGACATACATCGATCGAGGATGGACTCATGATCTCAAATCTCCACCAGAGGGCAGGGATCGTTCCGTTGTCCGGCACATTGGACGGACAACTGATGTCAGCTCTCCTATGCCATCACGTCAACCTCAGGGCCAGATCCAAAGCCAAGGAAATATGCAACCCTTCGATGGATCGGCCTGAAGTTTTGTTGATTGGATATGTCGGTATTCACAACGTACCGAGCCAACGTCTTGGTAACTCAAAGTGCACCTTCCGCTCCCTGGAAGAATCAGCATCAGCATCCATCGTGATCACATGCAGAGTGTTTAGCCCGTCTGAACTCAGTTGCGTACACACCTTCAGATTCAACACCTCAAGGTCTGCTTGGTGAGAATGGCCAGGTTGACGCCCTAAGCGAAATCCTCAGCATGTGTCACGTTGCAGGCTACGGCGCCATCCCTTGTGATGTTCTGCACCTCCTGTTGGGCTGAGGGTGGTCGGTAGACTTTCCCTACGGGAATCCTGAATCCCAAGGGACGAACCCCGTATCCGTATCCGTTGGCTGGACGGGAGTTGACCGGCTAGTAACGTGCCCAAACAAACCCAGCCCTGCTCACTGCTTACTGCTTTCCTATTTCTGCCTTCGGACGATGCCAACGATTCAGTGGGTGTGTGTTGTCACTCCTCTGCCGTGCCGCAGCCTGCGCAGCACAACTTCGGCGATAAGCACCCCCAATCCCTCCGCCCAGCTCTGATGCTGTGCTACTTGACGTTTCATTGGGCAAAATTGCTGCCAGCTACGAATAAGATGATAGCCGTAGAGACCGGGTACGTCGGACGACCATCTCATGTCCCGGACGCTGTCACGGAGCTGCCTCAGAACGTCAAAACCCATTGACCGTCTGGGGCGTGATAGGTCGCATCCAGTAGGAAGTGGCTGGATTGGGGCCGTGAAGGTGGTGTGGATTTCGCTTTTCCGTCAATTAGTTTTGCAGCTCGAGATCGGACAACAAGGCGCCATAGCGGTGCAAACCTGCAAAGACGACTACTGCTGCGTGGCAGGGATCGTGCATGTATCCGCGCGGGTGGCGGGCAGACCCTGTCGCTGAAACCTCTCCTCTAACTCTATCAACTTACACACAGATCCGAGTGACGCACGCCACGAATGGTCTTGACACGGCAATGTTCTGTTTCCGGGATGACCAGACAGTCAGCCTCCTTGAAGATGGCACTTGCACACCACCTCACAGGGCAATCAAGTCGTCAACGTCCCCGGCCGACTCTTCCGACCAGGTCCTGGCTTGCTCGAATGCCTGGCATTGTTTAACCTTCCATCAACCCACCCTCGTTCCGCCGCCCCTCCCTCCCCAACGTCCACCATCGATCACATCAAATATCATTGAGGTGGTGTACGGCGATACGTCTGTTGTTATCATTCACTCTCTTGTGCAGCCGTTCTTTCACCAACTTCTAATACTTCGGATCGCCATCCAGGCCTCACCGTATCTTCCTTTTTCATCGCGTGCTGGCATGGCTTCAGACTAATTTCAACGCAAACCGAGAACACACTCTTTGAGAGGCACACGAGGCCCTCAATCATACCACATCCAACATGTGGCTGCTCAAAGTCGCTACGATAGCGGCGGCGGTTGCAGCAGGGCTGCAAATTGAGCCTCTTCAACTGGCAGAAGTGGAATACGCAAAGAGACAATTGGGAGATGCTACGTCCTTCATCGCAGAACTGCCAACGGGGCAGGCAGCAGATCCGTCTTCATCAACATCATCTGCTGCACCCACGACTCCCCCTCCGCCTCCACCTCCTCCGCCGCCACCGCCGCCTACCACAACATCAACAACATCGTCCAGCTCACCGCTCCCTCCACCACCTCCTCCGACGACAACTTCGCGGACGACATCATCAGCTGTGAGAACAACTTCCTCGGCAGCTCCTCCTCCACCACCTCCACCACCGGCGTCAACATCACCACCGCCTCCTCCGCCTGCGGCTCCGACAACCTCAGCTCAGCCGTCAACTGTCCCGGCACCGGTATTCACACCATCGAACCCTCCGCCACAGTCAACCACGCAACCCCGAGCATCAGCACCGCCGACTGCGCTTCCAGCTGTTACTACCAGTGCCGCACTGCAGCCGCAACCGGCCCAGGGAGGAGCTCAGAATGGGCAGCCACCGCAGCAGAGACTCATTGACCCAGCTGAGGGTGCATTCATTGGAGGTGTTCCGACGACTAACATCGATGTCCCCGTGACATTCCTGTTTTTGCTGTTGTTCAGCGCTGGAGCGTACACGCACATCAGAATTTACAGAGCCAATGCGAAGCGGGGTCACAAATTCCTGCTCTCAGATCTCATGTTCGACTTCTGCATGGTCCGAAACGTCACTTGCATCATGAGAATCATCTGGGCTTTCGAGAAGGCTCGCGTAGTGATTCTCATTGCTTTAATTGTGCAATTCGGAGGGTGAGTTTTCCGCGTATTTGAGATGCATGAATGGAACTGACACATAATAGTGCTGTGGTCGTCATGGTGGTCAACATATTCTTTGCCCAAAGAATCATCCGGTCAATTCACCCCAATTTTGGGTGGCACCCTTTCTTCAGAGTTGCGACTCTCTTCTTCATTTTCTCGGTTCCGGCTGTTATCTTCAACAACAGTACGGCACTGGGAGTCTCGTTTTATCACATTGAAGATCAGGACCGCGTCGACACTGCGCTCAACGTGCTCAAAGCTGGAGTATCTTGGATCATGTTGCTTGCAATCCTACCTGTCGTTTCGGTTCTCTTTGCCGCCGTGATTCCAGGACCCAAGCCCGAGAGGTTTGGTGTTGGGGACACTCATCAGAAGATTGCAGTTTTGCTGATCGGTGCCATTCTTCTCATTGCGGGTCACGCTGTCCGTCTGACGTCAATCCTGAACCCCGAGCCGCCCGATTCGACGGATAAACTCTTGAGCAAAGAGGTCTTCTACACCACAGGATTCATGTTGGAAATCCTTGTCGTGGTTTTCTATGCTGTCATCCGAATCGACTTACTCTTCCACGTTCCCAATGGTTCAAGCCAGCCAGGCGATTACTCAAGAAAGCCCAAGCCAGGAGAAGACGACTACGAGGCCGCCCTTCTCACCAAGGAGGAGATTGAGGACGAACTTGCGGCAATGGGTCATCCATATGAGATCGTGGACTCATCGGGCCTGGGCAGAGATGGATCTGGACGCACCATTGTTGCATTCAGCACCCGCCGCATGAATGGCGAGAAGCCTGTTGTCTTGCCTCCTCGACCACAAGCATACAGTCGTGTGCAATCCATCAGGGGATCCGTTAGGTCCGTTCGTGGCTCGCTTAGGTCAGCCCGCGGCGGTATCTCGCGAATGATGTCCGGTCGCATGACTCCGGCTCCGTACCTGAATCAGGTAGACGTCGCACAACCGGCATTCAACGAAAACCCGTTCGGCAATGATCACCGGAGCCAGTACGGTGTGGCACAACCGCTGTTCATCCAGTCCAGGTTCAGCAGATACACGGATCCCGACGACGAGAGGTCCGCCTTGCGCCCTGAAAGTCAAGCAACATCTGGTGAAATTCCCTTGACGTTTGATAGAGACGGTCTCGGTTTTGAAGAAGGACGATCGAGGGTGGCAAGGCGATCTTCGATACAAAAGTTTACAGCGATGGAAAGGGAAGGTGGCCCTTTGAAATAGACTGTTAATAAGCGTTTTGATTTAAGGTAGTGTTTCTACAAAGCCGGGCTGCTCATAAGGGTATCCGCATTCATATTGATATTTTTTGTACATAATTGTTAGCTATGTTGTGAATAGTAATTCGAAGTTCACCACATTTCCGCGGTGCAAGCAGCCTTGTGTAACTCATTTGTTCAGCATACGAGGACAATGTCAGCTTCAAAGTTGTTCGTATCGTCATATGTATAGTTCACGTTCAGGCTCCGTGGTCTGCGCTTAAAGATCTGCTTTGTCTTACAGAGCAAGGCAAATTCCTTGATGTTACTTCACAGCAGGATTTCCACTAGCACGTCACTGGATTATGACAGCCATGCGGTCGTGGTAATATTATTGCCCCTCTCAAATCAAGATGTATTAGGACTGAGAGAGAATCTCCAATTTGTTTATAGCCGTTGAACACCATTCCAGTACGGACCCGGCCGTAGTGTACCCTCGCGCCCATGCTCGTATGCCAACATATCATACATGAAAATTATCTCCGATTTTAGTGTTTCTTGAACGGAGGAGGAAACATGCTCATGAACCCTGCTAAAAGACCTCCACCTCCGCCAGCTCCAGCGTCCTGGGCAGCAGCAGCGTCAGCATCGGCCTGTGGGGGAGCAGCGACAGCTTGACAAACGGTAGAGCCGGCAGCTGCGGCGCCAGCCGGGGGTGGTGCACCGGGAGCTCCCGGGAGAGCCGGCACAGACGTGCCGCCAAAGACTGCGATGCCTTGATCTAGGACGGTGCTGAGGGCGCCGGCGCTCTTTTGCGCGTCGGCGTTCAGCTCTTGGGGGACTTTGCTGACGAGAGCCTGGGCGAGGGCGACACTCGCAGACTTTTGATCTTGGAGCGCAACGGCAACCAGTGGCGTTGCGCCGAGCGAGTCGACCAGTGATTTCTTTGCCACGACATCGTTGATGGTAACCTTGACGTTGTTCGTAAGCGCGTCGGTCGCAGCCTTGAGATTCAACGCGTCCTTTCTGTTGAGGACCTCGGAGGCTTGAACCTGTGTCGTCGCGTCCTCAATTGAGGTTTTGACGTTGGTGACGGCGCCGAGCAGCTGAATACCACCGCCCAGTGTCACGGTTTGCGTGTTTTTTACCGAATTGTCGAGTCCTTGAAGCGCAGAGTTGATGGTGTTCAGAGCGGCTTGGATCGTGGCAAGATCGCGCTTGTACTTGGTTGTAATGACGGGAGCGCCGAGGGCCGTGGCCGCGACTAGGGTGAAGGACAAGAGAGAGCGGAGTAACATCGTGACCTGCCTACCAGCCTGCCGGTTACTTGAGTATCGTGGCCCTGAAAGGATTGAACTGCAGCCTCCTTCGGATTAAAAGAGAGTGTGGGTGCGGAGAAGATAAAAGGAGGAGCAACTTCAGACCATGACAGCGTTGCGCAGTAGGCTATGTTGTGGTGGATGTAGGCAGCTGAAGAGGGGGATGCAACGCCAGCTGAAGAGGACGTTGACTACGAGGGAGGGTCCATATAATGCGAATGCGGGGAGCAAGGACAGGATGATGGCACACGGCCAAGGCTATCACACGGCGAGGACCAGAGACTTGGCTGCCGCAGGTCCCGATGTCACCAGTAAATCTAGCCTGATCTTTGGGTGGTGCTGGCTTTCATGAGGCAAAGTTGAGACGGCCTTGATTTTGTGTGGGAGTATTGCCCTCTGCCGTGAGACTGCTGCCTCCATGGTCCCGCGAGCCGGGCCACCTACGGCAGGCGACTTGAATCCATAGTACGATGTTCACCTACTCGGCGAGCTACGCGATTTGGTGGATTTGAACCACATACCTCCCATGGAAATTCCCTAGAAAGGTAACTCTCGTAGAATCCCTGTTTCATGTCCCGAAAGTCCAGACGATTCTGAGCGCATAGTTTGGCATCCAGCATTTTGCCTTTAAGCCCGCCCACCGGCTCGACTGGTCATCGTCAAGAAGACGGTCTCTTCATTGCCAAGTTCCAGTGTTTTCAGTAGGAAGATCAATATTATGCTACTAAAATCACTGCAACATCAACTGGCACAGTCGGTATCTATCTTGATCTCAACGTAATGAAGCAATGGGGACCTGCGCATTGCGAGGGAATGTCGTTGAGTCAGTCGTTGTGCATGCAGGCCATCGGATCGGACTCCCCCAAGTCACATCGAATGAATTTCCCGATTCAACGGTGATACAACCTTGACTGCTTCCACGCCGTCTCATCTTTTCTCGTTTTCGTTTCAATTCCCGCACAGGCTTTGTTTCCTTAAACGGGGAATTATTAGGTACGATATTACGAAATCCGAGCCGCGATCATCGCCCCATCTTCCGATGAGTGGATCGTGTGGACAGCGATCCCTTTGAACAACTCTCGACGCATCCAACATGTCACTAACCAGACTGGCGGAAGATTTGCAAGAATTGAGTTGGAGAGAAGGATTTGTGTAGTTCCGACCAGGACGAACTGCTCCGCCTGTGGTTAATGTGATCACAGAGTCATTTTGGACCGGCCCCGACCGCCGATATGTCCCCGGGTCGAGCCTCTCCGTCACAGCCATCAAGCATACCCTTGTTTGTTTCATGAAGCTCAGACCATATCAGGCCTGCGGGATGCGGCTGTAAACCCGTCGTTGCATCTTAGTGTTGGGCAATCATCTGGAGGCTGTGGACAGTGCATCCACTACTGACATGTAACCGTCGTGTCTGCCATTACTTGACGTTGGGCAGATTTTACTGATCCTCATTTTCTGCTTTCAACTACTTGTGGGGAGACCAGCGCAAGCCTAGTATTCAGCGAAGGTCCCGGTGATCCATGTGTGATCAGATCTCTTTTGCAATTACAACGGCGTGGTGAGATTGTGCCCACAGATAGACACAACCTCCCTTCCCGGCTCTCTAGCTTTGTATTTTTCTGAAAATGCTTCGTCGCATCTTTCTGTATTTCAAGCACAACGATATACACGGAAGGAGTTTAACTCCGATGGAACCATGATCGGGATTGTGTCTACCTAGGCACTTGACTGGAGTTCGGAATTCGTGGGACAGGTGAAGAGTGAAGAATTCCCATTGGCTCGCTCGCTGTTCGCCGGGGTCTTGGCGTCAAGTGTCAAGCTCCAAGAGCATCCCGAGCTTATTATGAAGGCCAATGCGATGTCATCAAACACTCAGGCCGCAAGTTTCGTATAATCCGTATCTGGCAAGGCTGCGCCGAGCCATCCGAGGGAGTTGTGAAGCAACAGTTGAAGGATGGCCCCGCTTGTTTGTGACGTTCATCACACGTCTGCCTTCCATCATCCTGAAGTTCACACCGTTGGGTCGGCGTCCAAAGTCGGGATCTTCGTACCTTTCGTGTTACTACCCCTCGTCGCAACTTCGATTACGTTCCATGCCATCCCAGAGACTTCCAAGGTCCAGCTGCATACTTCACGCGTTGACTATCAGCTAACCCAAAAGAAAAGGCTATGTGTAATATGGAGGTCCAAACGCTCCCTAGGTATACCAAACTTCTCTAGCGCGGGACATGGTTGTTTCGCCGGAGAGAAATAATCGCCGCGAGATCAGTGTTCGTGCCAAGTGTGCCGTCGACACAAACAAGCTTAAACCAATGAAGCGGAGTCTCTTTCGGGGCCGGCAGTTGTGTAGTGGCACGGCAACATCCACTCTGCGTGATGCCTTCGCTATTCGGCCCATGCCAAGACTCCAAGAGTAGCGGTTATCACTCCGTGGTTTTGACATGATGTTTTGACGGATGTCGTAACTCTCGGCAATGCCGCTATCCATAAGCCGCCTTGGATTCCGACAGACCGGCCATCGCTGTTCGGGCGACTCACTGACTTTGAGTCACGCAATCATCTGATGTGCAGAGGTCCACGCGATACCTAATTTGGGGGCCAACCTACAACTTGTTCTCGGTTATTTGTCTAGTTTTACACATATTCCGTCGATCTTAAGGACTCGGCCGATCGACGCCGGGAGTCTTTGAAGCATACTTCGTACGCTAATTGCTAACATACGAGGGCTGCCACGAACAAACTCACAGCATACATGCGCACTGTTGTTCAGCTTCAAGCCAGGGACAAAACTGGGTTGAAGCATATTTTCCTACAGCAAGTCGTTGGAGGCCAATGCTGTGCAGTGTTGTTTTCTCTTTGGCTTGTTCCAATCCACAAGGCAAAAGCAAGGTTGACTCAAGTCCGTTCATCACAAGCCTCACTGACGGAGCATTTGTCTGGATTCCAGTTTCAAAGATCATCAACGATTACCACTCTTGTCTAGTGTAATCAGAGTCAAATCCCAGGCACGTTGTGGAGGTCTACTAAAGACCTTTGAAGGTCAGATGTATGCGGGTTTCCCATTAGCAAGTATCATTTCCAGCATGACGCGAAGGTAAGAGACCTTCATGACACAAGTGTCTACTGGATTCTTGAAGACAGTACCCAACGATATCCTACATTTGCACACCAGACTCGGAATTTGCATGGCGAAATCAACAGACATGTCTGGTGTCACAACGGAAGCGGCTACGCAGTGATGTAATGCTGGGGAAAATGGCCCCTCAAACATGTGGAAACAGTCAATCTCGCGTCTCGCCCCATCCACGAAAGTGGAATTTACCACGTGTTTCCTGTATAGTCGTAGTATTCGATCAAAGGGGCCAGCACTCTAGCTGTGGGCTGGACCAGTACCGCAATTGTGCAATGTTTATGTCACATAGGAATGAGCAGATTTTATGGCTCTTTTGGTGTCCATCTCTTTGACAAAGCGCTGAAGCTCTTGCACGACTCGAACTCCTAACTTTTTGCCTTCCGGAGTAGAAAGAAAGGCATTGTGATCTTTGGAGACGTGATCGTCCGTCCACATCTGACCGCGACCTTCCTCACCCAGCCCAAGGCTTGAAATCTAGATTTTTGCCCCTGCTCCGCCGTCCGCGCATCGGTGTTGTTGACGATCTTTGCCATCATTCCGACGACTCCGCTGTTGGCTGAGTGACGTGAGAGGTCCGAGTTCACTGCACCGGGGCAAACGGGAGCAACAAGAACCTCTGGTTTTGAGTGTCCTCGATGGTGGGAGGAACGCAAGGTGTTGCATGGAATACTCAAGCATAAGCTTGATGAAGACTGTACTGTCTTTGGCCTCCCATGACTCCTGGCGTGAAGGCCTCCTGGTTTGACAGGTCACGAAGAGGGACTGCTGAATTGAGGATGGTTCTATGGTAGAACGAATAGCAAGCCAAGCCGCGCCGGGGCTGACCAAAGTTGGATGCGGTTTTTCGGCGACCGAGGCCTTCTGCACCAAAGGAGAGGCGAGTAGCAGAGGCAGGAGGTGTGTCGAAAGCAGCGCTGGCGAAATGGCGTTGACTTGCAGACCGCTCTCATATCCTGTTTCCGCCTGATTGTATGACCCCGCCAGCAACCCGGAACTAACAATGGCGTGGTCCGAGTGGTTTGTCGTCTGCTTCAGTCTATTGACCAGGTTGTAGATTGAGTCAGGGGATGTCATCTCAGCCAGACGACGAGAGGGACGATGACCGGTTGGGGCCCTGAAAATGCCGAACTTGATGCTAGGTGCTCTTCGATGGTCGCTTTGGTTGTAGCTGCCTTGGCTTCGTCTCGGGCTGTGATAATGAGGGTAGATACTCCCTGCAATGCTAGCTTCATGGCTGCCTCAAGACCGATGCCTATGGAGACCCCGACGACGAGAATGGTAAGCCCATCAAAACGCCGAGAGGATGGCTTAGGTGGGTGAAAACGGGCTGTGATGACCTTCAACATGGTTCTGTTCGAGATTTAGGAGGAATGGAAAGGGGTAAGCAAATCTGAATACAACGTGAGGTACTGAGAAGGAATGAACCGATCGTCGGGGGCATCTTTATAATTCTATGGTAAACCCGCGATATGGGTTCGATCTGTTCATCATTTAGGCTAGTTCCAATTTGTGACGTTGTCAAAATCTACACCGTTCATGTCGGGTTCGACATGTTAACTGACAGCACGCCACTTGCAGGCTGGAGCAGTGAAATGAAGTCCTTCTTCTTTTCTTGTCTCTGCCAAGTCCTTGCCATTTGCCAGCGAGTGATCATGAATGATGATTTTTTCCTGTTCTTTTTTAGCACCCGTTCTGTTGAGCCCGGCAATTTCCTTTTCTTGCTTTCTCAGGGCTAAAATAGAATGCCTTTGAACGTTTTCCTGCCATTTCCAGAGCGAGAAGCAGCGCCAACGTGGGCCGGGCTTTTTGGACAAAGCCCGGCCTCATCCCGATGGAGGGTTTCTTGGAGGTGGCCGAACTTGAATGCGCGAGTAGACGTCCGAAAGTGGGAATACTCGTAAAGCGCACGGGCTTTCTTACGTAGGCTGAGATTGTCCCGTGTGTGGTTCTCTGTCTAATTCGACGCTAGAAACACTGTAGCGATGGTGGTGATTCTGTGAGTATCTGAAGATCTTGTGGGGTCAATCATTACCAAGTTCAATGATTGGAAGGAAAGTATCAAGCATGCTTGCTGCGTCGATAGCCCAGCTCTCGTAGTTGTATGGCCCTTTCGTGGCCTAGGTATTGTCAGCCGTCGAGCCAGACGAATAGGCCTGATGAACGTTGGCCACCGACCATAGCATCCATAAGACTGACTTCCCTTACCAAGGTAAGGTGCCTTGTATTTTAGCCCTACCAATACTACAGATGTCTCCCAAAACTCTGCATCATGCCCACAATCCGAAAGGAAAGTATGAAGCCAGTGAACAAAGCTCTTTTTCAATTCTATCATAAGCCTAACTTAAAGTCCATTTAGATGCATAATAATGTCTTTGTTATAAACTAACTATAATATATATATAGTATCTATATGAATAAAACAGCTTAATTCCTTCTAAATTAGAGTCTAATATAAAAGGTCTTTTAAGGAATAGATCCTAATATACTAGAATATTATTAATCTAAATAAGTAAATTAGAAGTAAGTTACTTTATACCTTCTTCTAAGTATAAGGTTACTTTAGATACTTAAGGGTATTATAATATACCCCCTTAAACTTAAAAAAGCTTAAAAACCTTAATCCTATATAATTAATATTATAAAGTCTAAATATATATATAAAGTATTATAAATAAATATAAAAGGAAGTAATTAATAAAAGAAACTAATAAAAGAGATAATTTTATACTTTTATTATTAAATTATAAAAAAGAGGAAAGTTTTTCCCTTTATATACTTTCTATTATAGTTAAGATTATAAGTATTAAAGTAGTAACTAATATTATTATTTTATTTAGTAGAAATAGAGGTTTCTTATTAACTTAAATAAAAAGGTTAAAATAGTTATTAAGATAATAAAGTAGTAGTAATAATAATATTTCTTATATTACCTCTACTTTTTAATTTTCTTTCCCTATCTATATTATAACTAATATATATATTACTTACCTTATTTCTATATATATATATATTTATATTATAATTATAATACTTTTTTTTTATTTAAGATCTTATTTTTAATACTAATTATATTATTTAGATAATTAAAAAGATTAAAACTAAATATATAGCTATAATAGCTAAAATAAGAGCTACCCTTATTAATAAGAAGTAGAAAGAGAGAAAGGGGGAAGAAAAGGAAAGTAATAATACTCCTCTAATACTTTCTTTAGAACTTAAAGGCTTTAAACCTAAGAATAAGTTATTTTATTATCTATTTTTATTACTTTTAAATTATCTCTAAGTTATAAAGTCTTTACTTTATTTTACTATTCTTATAACTTATTTACTAACTTAAGTTATTTTATAGAAGTTAAAACTAATAAACTTAATAAGGGTAAGAAACTTATAGGGGGTAGAAAAACTAAAGAGAGGTATAATTTAGAGTTTATAACTCCTACTCCTCTATTTACTTATAAATTATACTAAAGGTATAAGAAGAGTATATTTTAAATTTAGTTCTCTAATTAAGTAATTATATTATTTATTAATTTTTAAGTAGAAGTAGAGGTTTTAAAGGTTAAAAGTTAAGAAGAGGAGTAGCTACTACTATTAAGTAATATAATTTACTTACTTTACTTATAAAGTATTTAAATAGATATATTATTTAGTATATATATACTTAGTATAAAGTAAAGAGGTAAATATACTCTTTATAAAGAGAAGAAGAAGCTATATAAACTTATACTACTATTTATTTCTATACTAAAGTTTTAATTCTTTTAAACTTTATATAATAGTATAGATAAGTCTATATATACTACTTTATAACCTTTATATTACTATTTACTTAGTTAACTATTTATTAAATCTTTATTCCTAGGAGAACTATACTCTAAGAGGCTCTTAAGGTTTATAATAAGGCTAAAATAAAAGCTAAAACTAAAGCTAAAACTAAAAGTAAGAGTAGTAATAAAGTAGTTATTAAGACTATAACTCCTCTTTTAGTACTAGCTATTATTTTATTAATTAAGTTTACTATAGAGGAAGTATTAGTTTTTAGTAGTTTATATACTAGCTTATTTTCTAAAGTAACTCCTTCTATCTCTAAAGTAGTTAGTATTTATACTACTATTAATAGCTTTATTAGTAGATATCTTTTTAAAGAAATAAAGTTTATATATAATATCTTTATAGCTAATTATCTATCTACTTTCTAAAGATATAAATAAAGTATAGTTTTTATATTACTTAATACTTTATAAAGTATAGGTATTTTAAGCTCTTAAGAGGGCTATATATTTCTTAGCTATTAGGCTATTTTTAATTAAAAATACCTAGTTTATAAACTTTATTTACTACTTAACTCTTCTTTTTTACTTTATTCTACTACTTATAATATATTTTAGAGGTTTAGAAGTACTTTAAACTATTTAAACTTTATATAAGAAAAGGTTTTTATAAAGCTATTAATTAGTATTTTATTAGTTAGAAGGTAAACTATTTAGAATAATTACTTAATATATTCCTAGTAAAGCTATATATTCTAGATATCTATATAATAAAAGTAAGTTAAGATATACTCCTTTTTACCTATTATAAATTAAATTATTTACTAATTATTATAATAGATCTTCTATATATCTCTTAAGCTAAGTTTAAGATCTCTAAAAAGCTACTTAAGAGCTATAATCTCCTTTATAGTATACTCTAAGCTTAGAAACTCTACCTCTATTATTAATATAGTTACTATACTTTAATATATAGCTTTCTATTAAATTAAGCTTCTAAAGAGAGATATTATAAATCCTTAAGATAACCTTTATATCTCTTTATTATTAATAAAAGATATATTATTTATAATTAGTAATACCTAAGTTACTTTACCCCCTAAGGTATTAAAATAAATTATAAGGTATTAAGTATAATATAGGTATTAAATTACTTAGTTTATAACTTAGTAGTATTTTAGAAATAGGTTTATTAGGAATTATAATAGTAAGGTATAAGTAAATATAATATTTAGCTATATTATAATTATAATATAGAGGATTAATTTAATCTTCTCTTAATATAATAAGACTTATTATAGGTTTACTTCTCTATTAAACTTCTTAAGTAAAGTAAGGGGAAGAAGTATTATTAATACTTTAGAGTTAATAAAATTAAATTTCTTTATAATTTACTTAATATACTAATTATATAAAATATAAATTCTTTATATTATTTAATTATAAGTAATCCTAATTCTTAGGTACTATTTAGCTAATCTTTAGTCTTTTAGCTTATACTTCTCTTTAATCTCCTTTATAACTTTCTCTACTTCCTTTATATAGTCCTTATAATATAAAATAAAGATATTATTAATATAGAAGAGTATAAGAACTTTTTTATTATAAGACTAAAAGAGATATAGGTCTTTACTTATTAGATATAATCTAAAGCGAAGAAGGGTATTTAAAAACTTTTTATACTAAAATAAAGAAGTATTATAAAAGCTATATAAGGTATATTAAAGTTTAATAACTTTCTTATCTTTTTTAAAGCTATTTAATAAGTAATAAGTAATAGGGGGGTTATTTAGTTTATATATAGTATTTAGAAATATATTAATAATATTAAATTAGTGAATTTTAAGGTTAAATTATATTATAAGAGCTATTATAACTTTAAATATTTTTATAGTAAGGGTTATAATATAAATCTATTCTAAAGGGTATTTTTCTTAGAGGTTACCTTAGATATAGATTCTAACCTTATAGTAATTAAGATATCTATATTAATCTAGTTTATATATAAATACCTACTTAAGGGGTATTAACTTATTCTTTACCTTTAACTTATTTATAACGTTTTAAATACCTATTTCCTTAAGTTTATTAATTTTAATATTATATATTTTAATAAAGTAAAAGTAGAGTAGCTTTAGTATATATTAGATATCCCTCTAGGTCTTAAGTAGCTTTATAAACTAATTAATATATATTTTTCTACTTAGTATTATAGATATCTACTTTAATTTCACTTAGTAAACTAAAATAAAAATAAAGTAATAAAATAAGTAATATCTCTAATTTACTTCTTTAAATACTTTC